CGAATAATTGAGAAGATCCTTCAACCGTTCGCCCGAGCGACATTAGCAACACAAGGGGATCATGCGACCCTGGACAAAGTGCTCTTCACGATGGACGTCTTGATCCGATGCTTTGATGAAGCCCTGGTACCATGCCTTCCATTCCTCTGATCTCCTTGTGCAAGCGCTGAGATGGTGCAATAGGTCTCGTACAAATCAGACACCGAGCTGTCCTTTAGGATCAAACGAGGGTGGGAAGTCTTTGACAAATATTATAGCAAGACAGAAGCATCGCCCTATTATGCAGCTGCCTTGATCCTTCATCCCAGCTATCGCACAACATACATCCAGGCAAATTGGAAGAAGAAGTGGCAAAACCTGCGTTCAAACAGGTCAAAGACCTTTGGCTCACATACCGAGACACTGTGGATGGCGCCCTCTCGCAACATTTACTAGATGACGATGATGACGAGGACCTTGACGCGTTTGATCGCATTTCAAGGAACCTGCAGAATTGCACTCGACCGTCAAGCCAGGACGAGTACGAAGATTACATTTCATGTGATCCGTACGACATTACGCCGACGACGGCCTTGTCATGGTGGCTTCAAGAGCAACAGAGAAAACGATGGCACAAGCTATCACAAATGGCCATAGACATCCTATCAATGCCGGCGATGAGTGATGAACCTGAGCGGGTGTTCTCAGGGGCGCGTCGCACAATCTCATGGGAAAGAGCCCAATTGGACGCGAAACAAGTCGAAAAGGGAGAATGCTTAAAGCATTGGCTCAAGAACGATATCTTGCAAGGGGCCGAGGGTGGTGGCGGGTCCCCAGATTTTGGGTAAAATCCTGGCTCAACTTCTACGCCTGTTTCCTGCAAAAGGAGCAAATTTCTGCTTGGCATCCCCTTAACCGGTCGTCTGTCATTACGTTCACGTTAACTGTTCCTTGATTTTTCATTGATTCATGTCGTGTTTGGCACGTTTTGCCGAGACCATATAGGTGAGCTGTTGCGGGATGCGCACGGACCAAGAATGGAAAGGTGTATTGCAATACTTGCAATAAATGTGGGGCGATACTCCAGTATGGATTGCACACCTTTCCATATATGGAAAACCACCCTGGGCCCACTAGCTCTTCATAAGCTAGGTCTCCAACAAGGAGTCAAAATAAAGGGCCCGAAGACTGCTGAATGCGAGCACTGCGCCCGAGGAAAAGCTCGAAAGCAGGTGTCACGAAGAACTCCCGTTAGAGAGGACAAGCCCTGCCATGAGGTTTGGATCGACTGGACCGACCTTTCCCGCAGTCATAACGACTTCGTCCGGGTGATGTTTATCACGGACGCCTTTTCAGGCATGGTTTTCCCCTATTTCATGCGGACCTACAGAGAGAAACACAACTGGGCCGCCCTTCGAGACTTCGTCAGCTGGATGAAGGAGCACTTCGGCTTTGCTGTCAAGATAATCCGGTCAGACGGAGAGCTATTTACGAAGAAGATTCGATCCTGGCTTCGAAAGAAAGGAATTTCAGCTGCACCTTCTGCACCAAACACCCAGGCTCAGAACGGCGGTGCCGAACGATCCGGAGGAGTAACAATAGAAAGGGCTAGAGTCATGAGAATTGCCTCAAAGCTTCCCCCACGACCTGTGGAAGGAAATTGTGGAAGCAGCATGTTACCTACGGAACCGAACGCCAAGAGAGCCTAAAGTGCCGTCTGACCTGAGGGGTGCAAGCCAGTCATGGAAATCTCCAATTGAGCTCTTTACTGGAAAAATGGCACAGCTTGCCCATCTTCGAGCCTACGGTTGTAAGGCCTACGCGATGACTTCAAACGCACAGTTGAAACGAAAGCGTCTTCAGAAGCTTGATCCAAGAGCACACATTGGATACCTTGTCGGATACAACTCAACGAATATCTTCCGGATCTGGATTCCCTCTTTACGGAAGGTAATCTCAACAAGGGATGTGATTTTCGATGAAGACTCCTACTTTGATGGAAAGCTCCTTCAACAGCCGCTCTCAGATAGCATCGACGAGCTTGTCCAGGAGATCGAAATTGCCGAAGATCAACAAGCAAAAGAAGTAGCCCTCGATGAAGAAACCGATACCGAATCAGATATCGAGGACTTCTATGACGACTTTGAAGACGAAGAAGACCGTGACCAGGAACAAGAAAAAGGAGACTATGAGAGAGCCCTTGAACTTGAAGAGGCTTCTTCTTACACCTCCAGCTTCAGAAGAAGAAGACACTCTTTCAGCATTTTCAGTTCAGCTTCCTGTTGCTACCCCTGAGGGTGGATAACGAGACCTTCTCGCCAGATATCCCCGCTGTGTTTACGACCCTCCTTCAAAAGCACGAGAAGCATCGGACCAGACAGGGATAGACCAGGAAGACCAGTTGTTTGACCGATTCGCTGATTTTGTCCCTACCCCTGTTGAAGACGGATGCCATGGAGCTTTCACAGCAGGCAGGCAATTCAGACCGACCCCGAAGAATATGCACAAGAGAGATCTCCCGGATCCACCAATGAACCAGAAGCAGCTCCAAAGGCACCCATTCAAAGAGGAATTCATGCAAGCCCAAAGAGACCACCTAGCCTCACACGAAGAGATGGGGTCCTTTGAGGAAGTTCCTCGGAAGAAAGCCCGAGGACAACAGGTTCTTGGATGTCAATGGGTCTTTGTGTACAAGACTGACAAACACGGGATCCTTCGGAAGTGCAAAGCCCGCCTTGTGGTCTGTGGGAACCAGCAAGAAAAAGGAGACCTTCCGACTAGAGCCACAACGTTAGCAGGGATGTCATTCCGGACCCTGATGGCTCTAGCAGCTGAATACGACCTTGAGCTTGATCAGATGGACGCGATCAACGCATTCGTAAATTGTCCTCTTGAGGAAGAAGAAGTCGTCTTTATGAAGATGCCCCCTGGCTTTGAGAGGAGGGGTAAAGTTCTACGGCTACGAAAGGCCCTCTACGGACTTCGCCGTTCTCCCCTTCTTTGGCAGCAGCATCTCACTGCATCCCTCGAGAAGATTGGCTTCAAGACAGTCCCTCAGGAACCATGCGTCATGATGAAAGGAGCCGTCATCGTCTTCTTCTACGTCGACGACATCATCTGGGCCTATCGAAAAAGGGATCAGCAAGTCGCCACGGAAGCTATATCCGGCCTGCAGCAACGATACAAGATGAGCATACTAGGGGAACCAAAGTGGTTCTTAGGGATCCGTATCCTTAGGCACCGACCTAGTCGGACGATCTGGCTGACGCAAGATGCCTATATCGACAAGATCGCTCATAAGTATGTTCCGGACAAGCTAGGCATAAAGCCTCCTAGCACCCCAATGGCCACAAACGAAGAACTCGTTTCAGAACCGATCCAAGCAAGAGACCAAGACAAGCATAGCTACCTTCAGAAGGTCGGATCTCTCTTATTCTCAGCAATTTCAACAAGACCAGATATCGCTTTTGCAGTCTCCCGACTAGCCCGCTTCAATCAGAATCCAGGCCCGACACATCAGAAGGCAGCAGACAGAGTGATCCTATACCTCTATGCCACACGATCATATGGTCTACGCCTCGGAAGTTCCGGAAGCACAAAAAGGGGCAGCAGAAAGCCGGCTGCAGCAGAGATTTTCCTCTGTTCAAGCGATTCCTCTTTTGCAGACAATTCAGTCGACAGGAAGAGCTCCCAGGGATATGTCATGACCCTATTTGGAGGCTCTGTCGCATGGAGAGCATCAAAGCAAGCTACTGTGGCTACCTCAAGCACAGAGGCAGAGCTGCTCGCTCTTTCAGAAGCATCAAAGGAAGCCATCTTCCTCAGCAGACTGCTCCGTTCTTTGCAACTACAAATCCCGTCGCCGTTGGTAGTCGAGTGCGATAACACGCAGACTATAAGGCTCCTAGAAGAAGGAAGTCCGAAGTTGTCAACCAGGCTACGGCATGTTGATATACACCAACACTGGCTACGTCAGGAAGTGCAGGGAAGCAGAATACGCCCTCGTTGGGTTCCAACAGCTGAAATGCGAGCCGATGGGTTGACAAAAGCTCTCCCAAAGCAGAAGCTAGCGGAATTCCTTCGGCTGATTGGGCTTGAAGAGATTGGTGAAAGGTTGAGACTGGAGGCTAGGCTGGAGGCGCTGAAGGACAAGATCAAGGACTGTAGGGAACACCGAATGAGGCCGTCTCACGACCTACACGAACACTAGCCCGGCTCAACTGAGGTTGCCCTTGCAAGTCTGGTTGTATCTGTTCCTCTGCTAGGGATAGGCAACAGCTAAGGGGGTGTGTCGAGAAGAAGGGTCTAAGACTTGGTCCTGAAGCCTGATAGCTAGCTGAAGGTGTAGGAACGAGACAAGATGAAAGTGGGATGACGTGGCACGCTGACGCGGAGAGAGGGTGCCTATGCATTAGTAAGTCAGCAAGGAAGGAGATGGAAGACTGAAGAAGAGAGGGCAATGGGCATAAATGGGAGAATGGTACAGCAGACAGGGAGGAAGAAGAAGGAGAACACATGCACCCTAAAAACATTATGCCCCTTGCCCTGCTCTCTTCGTGAGAGAATCATCACGTCCAGTGCTTTGGCGTGATAGTGCTTCAGTGGCTGAAAAACCACCACATCGAGGGGCTGGAGTATATGCGTGAGGTTTGGAGGCATACCAAATGGAATGATGCCATGTTGGTCGCAATACTGAATGAACTGCCTTGTGTGGTGGGAGCCGTGGCCATCGAGAATTAACAAGCGCTTCGAGCTTCTCGAGGTCTTTGTCGAATGTTTGTCAAAATGATGAAGCCATTCCAAGCTGATTTCGTCGTTTGAGTAACCGCTTGACGTGGGTCGGATGGCCGTGTCGGGGTCTAGTCCCGGTATTTGATACCATGAAGTCATATGCATCTGTCCAGACAGAATCAAGAAAGGTGGAATGGACTCTCCGCTTGCTGAGATTGCCTCGATGTCAGTGGCAGATTCTCTGTTCTCGGGGATACCAAAATAATGAGCTCGCTTTCTTTTGGTGACAATCAGCTGATCCTTGCCAACCCAATGCGAAATCCTGTCTCGTCCATATTCCAGATATCTTCAGGTGGTATGCCCTTCTCTTGGATGACTTGCTGGAGATTTTGGAAATAATGGGTGACTCTTGTGAGGTCCTCCGATGTCTGACGCTCCGAGTGGAGCTTTTTTTGGAGCTTCTTGAAGTAACCGTGACGCTTTAGAAAACGAGAGGTCCACTTGCTGCCGATAACTAAATCGGCTTGACCGGATCGCTCACGCAGAATATTATTTGCCGCGTCGGTGACGAACTCAGGGCGCACCGCAAGGTTCACGTTATCAAGGCGATCGATGTAGCGACATAATGCTGCCTCTTCTGGGCGCGATAACTTCATGTTCGTGGCTGGTCGGCCTACCTTAGGAGGACGGCCTTCGAGGCGGTAACGCAATCGATTGCGTGGAACACCGAATTGTCGGGCCACATTGGCGACTTTTGCATCAGGGACATCGCCGATGTATTGCATCGCTTCTAGAATACGCGCTTCCATGTTCCTTGATGCAAAACGAAGTGACGTGGGTGGAACAAAGCAGATTGAAGGCAGACGGTGAAAAATCTGGCTATTGCGGTGTACTGGCTACTGCGGTGTCCAGCACCAGCTTATGGAGCTGGTGAGGAACGAACGCGAAATAAGTGGGGCGTGGCACGGGTAGTCTGCCGGTCTCGACCTCCGGGCCCAAAGGTCGTGCCCCCGGTCGGATTCGAACCGACTCCGCCACGAGGGCGGCCTCCCAAGCGTATGACCAATACGCCACGAGGGTTACTTAGGCTATAGATTACCAGGATGTGCTGAGAACTATCCTGGAAATGGTGCGCAAGGCACCCTGCGGTGTGACGGACACTCGGCATTCAATTGACTCGTCGGAACGGTGTGCTCGTTCTTCAAATACTGCATTTGTCTACTATCATAATACACGTTTTTACGCCTCCACTTGCCAAATTCCCCCCAAAATTGGGCAAACTCGCATGATGTTCAAGCTCTGATTACAGCCGTGATCGAAGACCACATATTGTAGCGTGGTGTAGACTTCGGTTGTGCAAGCTAGCTCAGCCCCGGCACCCACCCCTGCTTTATGCGGGATCCACTGCAGGCTTGAGGTGGCTCCACGTTGTCTCCCGTGGTTCCACTTTCTGGGGATGGGTTTGGTCCCAACTTTTTGGAATCTTGCCATTTCCCTACCCGGACTACCCGTGCCACGCCCCACCTTTATTTGGAACTCGCGAGCTCGCACCACCTAAAGGTGGTGCTCACCACCAACATACCCACACCACCACAATACCCAGAATTTCGACCGTCCGACTTCAGCATCCCTACATCTCAACCAATTCGCGGTCTCGTCGCTAGCTGAAATGGAAGCACGTACACAGGCCGCTCTTAGACACATTGAAAATTTTCCTGGTGCCAAAGTCGCAACTGTGGCGCGAGAATTCGGTGTAACACGTGATCGATTGCGATGCCGTCTTCAAGGCCGACCTCCTAAAATTGGTCAGCGAGCCAGGAACACGAGGCTTTCGCAACCAGAAGAGAAGGCCCTGTGTCGCTATATCGATCGTTTGGATAATGTGAACCTTGCGGTACGCGTTGAGTTCGTCACTGACGCGGCAAACTGCATCTTGCGTGAGCGGTCTGGCCAGAGTGGCGCTCCTACCGTGGGGCTAAACTGACTTCTCGCTTCTTGAAACGCCACGGCTACTTCAAAAGCGCCAAAAGAAGCTTCATGCAGAGCGCCAAGTCTCTGAGGATATTACACGAGTTAACGAGTATTTCCAGCGTCTTCAGCAGGTCGTGGAAGACAATGGTATACCTGCCGAGGACATCTGGAATATGGACGAGACTGGTTTTCGCATCGGGGTTGGCAAAGACCAGCTGATTGTGACAAAACGGAAGAGAGCTCATTATTTTGGCATTCCTGAGAATCGGGAATCTGCTACTGCGATCGAAGCTATCTCGGCGAATGGGGAGGTTGTTCCGGCATTTTGATACTCGCTGGCCAGATGCACATGGCTTCATGGTATCAAATACCTGAGCTGGCTCCTGACACAGTTATTCGACCCACACCTACTGGTTACTCAAACGACGTGATCAGCCTGGAGTGGCTCCAGCATTTTGACAAGCACTCGGAAAAAACCTCAAGAAGCTCGAAGCGTCTTCTAATTCTCGATGGTCATGGTTCTCACCATACCAGGCAGTTCATTGAATACTGCGACAACCACGATATTATTCCCTTCGGCATGCCACCGAATCTCACGCATATACTTCAGCCGTTGGACGTTGTGGTTTTCCAGCCACTAAAGCATTATCACGCCAAGGCCTTAGATGTCATGGTTCGAGATGGCCTCATCAACATAACCAAGCTTGAGTTTCTCTCCTGCATTCAACAAGTACGATTGCAAGCTTTCAAGGAGAGTACTATACGCTCTGCATTTCGAAAGACAGGAATCTTTCCATTCAATCCACAAGTCGTACTTCAATGTTTGGAAGCTCGTCAAGCCAAGACACCCACACCTCCTCCCAATTCAGGACCACACTCTTCACCTTTCGAGACACCATTGACTCTACGACAAATAAACAAGGTAGCGGACAAATTAGAGATGGTCCTTGAAGACGATGAAAGCCTGGATCCCGACTTTTCTCACGATCTCAGTCGATTTATTCGGGGATCGCTATCTCTGGCTACAGAGCTCGTGCAGACAAAAAGGGACTTGGGACGAACCAAAATGGCGGAGCGGATCCAAAAACAACGTAAGGCTATGAAGAATATAAAGTTACAATCAGGAGGAGTGTTATCGGTAGCCCAAGGACGGGAAATGGTGCAACAAAGGGAAGATGATCAGATTGCTAGAGCAAGGAAGGTAGTTGAAGGCGCGGAGAAAAAGGCGCATAACGCACGCAAGCGATGGTTTGAGGAAGCAGCAAAAAAGGCACGGCAATGGAGGGCTTCAGGGAGGTTAGAACGAGTGGAAGTATGCGATTCTGAGCGTGGTACGCGGTGGTTGAAGCGATTCTAGGTCGGGGAGTCGAAATTCTGGGTATTGTGGTGGTGTGGGTATGTTGGTGGTGAGCACCACCTTTAGGTGGTGCGAGCTCGCGAGTTCCAAATAAAGGTGGGGCGTGGCACGGGTAGCCAGTTTATTCGTATTACTAAGAGACGATGCAATATCTAAAAGCAGAGATATTTTAATAAATACCTGTATTAGAATTCTAGAAAAGTAGTCTAAATCATCTCTAAGTAATTTTCTAATAAGTATCATTTTAGTCTATTGTTTTTTTGCTTCTTTCTTATCCATTTCTTAACCAGTTATAGTAAGGCCAGCCCGAGTTTAGCGTCCGCAGGTCGGTTAATAACCAAGGAACACGGGGTCTAGCTATCCAAGACGAAGTATTAAAAAAGGCAGAACAGCTGGCGGAATGTCAAGAGCACACTGATGCCTGGATATGATACATTGATGAGGACTAACCCCAAGGTTGCACGCGACGGCAATCCCATGGGCCGAAAGCCCACGTAATTGGTACGGTTAGATCAAGTCATAAAGTCTGTGGGTACCTACATCTACATCCCTCCGACCGTCTGGCATACTCGCCTCCGTTCACGATCCTTGGCATCGCAGCCCCATACTTTCATCCTCGTCTCCCTGTTGATCTCCCTGAAGAGCTGACCACTGCCTCGCAGTACCCAGAGACGCTCGACCGCGCCGCTGCCCTCGCCACCCTTCTGAAATCCTGACCATGGAAGACGATGCTGGCTGCGCGCAGCAAACAACAGGCCCAACGAACCAGCCGTCGCCATCCATGGTCTTTCCCGGTTGCCATCGGCCCTCGGCCTACGACCAGCGGCAGCAGCAGCAGCAGCTCGCAGACGCATCGACTCCCGCCTCCAGCTCTCTCATGAGCACCGCCTTTGAGTTCTTGTCCGCCCCTTCGGACGACTCCATGCCTTCCTTCGACCCCACCATCGCTGCCTTCACCGACATATCCTTTACCCGGCCCGCTGTGCCCTCGACCAGTCTCCAAGTCAGAACCTCGCTCTCGCCCGCGGCACGCCAGCTAAAGTGTTTTCGGCGACCGGAACTAAGCTCCCACGATAGGAAGCGCGTCAAGGATGACCCAGGAGCCCCTATACTGGACTCCATCGATTACTGGATTCGCTTCGGCGACGATGTTGATAATATTGGCAGCCTCGAAATCGATTACTCTAAGTGCAACGATCCCACTGGTCTGAATGGGTGAGCCTCGATCCCGTCTTCTCTCTTGACAAGCGTCAAAGTAAAGGCGATGCGAGGAATTCAACCCCGTTACCCCTGCTGACTTGACTCTCTCAAACAGAACAGGTGCGGTGACCAGTACAATGCCCGGCCTGGGCAGTGGCCTTTACTCGACGGCCATGGCGCCTTTTGGAGAGGACTTCATTGATGATGTTGCTTATGACGACCAAGCTCTCTCCGACGATGAAGACATACCTGATGTGGAACACATCGGCGATCAGCCGTCGGGTACGGAAAGCCAATCCCAGCTCCCCGTTCCCCCTTCGGTTTCGCTTCCGCAGCCATCTCACGACGAAGTCATCGACGATTTGGTGTCCCTGACTAGGGGCGGCAGAGCCCATTTCGGCCTGCGACTGAACCCGGCGCTGGAGGAAACGCCGAGGCAGATGCGGCAAGACATCTGGGGGACACCTCCCCGCGGCATGAATCAGGTCCTTAGCCTGGAAGAGCAGCGGCGCCTTCTCGAGATTTCTCTGAACTCGGGCCAGATGCCCGCCAGCTTCATCCCCCCCAACGGATTCGGCCTGGGCTTTGGCGCCGGTTTGGGGGCGCGTCCGCCGGCCGAGTTTGGGCAGAGAGCAGGCCGTCCACCCTCCACCACCATGGAAACCGCGCCAACGGGCACGTCGTCCGGGGTCGCCCCTCGAGACGAGGAGGAGGAGGAGCAGGAGCAGGCGGTTTTGAAACTGCCACTGAAGCGCCCTGCGGCTTCGAAACCTGGAATGTCCAAGAAACCGCCCGAACACGCGTTGGCGGAGACGGTCAAGCCCCGGCCGGCCGACAGAATTGCCCACAATGAAGTGGAACGAAAGTATCGGACCAACTTGAAAGTCAAGATCGCCGAGCTTCGAGACGCCGTGCCCGCGTTACAGCCTCCAGCGCTGGGGACGGACGCCGCCGAGTGCGGCCCTGGGCAGCAGGATGCCCCTAAGGTGAGAAAGGTGAGTCGAAACAGGTTTCCATGAGCCCCGGCGAGAAACATACTCAGGATTCGGATCGACAGGGAACCGTCCTGGCAGAAGCGACCGAATACATTCAGCAGTTGGAGCAGCGCAACAGGGCCATCGTACTGGAGCACCAACAGCTGGCGCGTCGGCTCCAAGCATTTGAGACGCTGTTCGACAGCACCATCAGGCAGCCAGATTTGATGACCAAACCCAGCATGGCGCTCTTCGACCCGAGAGGCTTCTGCTAGAGATTTGGCGGAGTGGGCGGCCTGAAGTCATTGATTTGGACGCGAGCATAGCTCCCGCGCTGGAGAATAGGGCAACGCCGGCTATTACCGAGAATATCAGGACACTGGAATTCCTAGGTACTGGCCGAAGACAATAGGTACAACCAACCAGAGGCTTGCGGTCAAGATACTTCAGAAATATCACCACATCGTGATGGTAGCAGCAAACGGACTAGAAGCCGCCGAGGCAGTCAAGGAGAAGAAAGTTTGACGTGATTTGATGGACTTCCAGATGCCCATCTTGGTAATGGCCACTCCCTGCCCCTTACTCAGGCAAGCACTAGGCAATCGTGTTGTAGGAGGATTCGAGGCCACAGCGATGATATGCGAGTATGAAAGGAGAATAGGGGCCTGCAAGATGCCCATCATTGTATTGGGTTATGCAAGCAACTCACTCCTCTAAGAAGAAGTTGCCACCTTTTACGGACTCTACAAAGGCTCAATCAAATATGGCTGCTTGCCATGTGCTCACAAGCTCTTCGAGTTGGCTCTTCAAGACGAACCTCTGAAGAAGGAAGACTTGGATCCATTTTGGCAAATTAAACGATCACGGGACATTGATGGCTCGGTCCGTGATGAGGGAGGCGTAGCAGCCTCGACAGGCATCCAAGAGGGTGTCCTCACCAGAGATGTTCAAGTACGTCTCCTGCTGGCCGGCAAAGCTAGCATCGGGCAGGTCCTTGGCCTTCGCGCAGGAGCGGACCACCACGCTCAGCGTCTCGATGCGCGCCTTGGTGGCCGAAAGCTGACGATAGGCAGTCGGGATGGCGGTTGCAGCACTGCCGGGCCAGTTGTAGCGATGGAACAGGCTGCGCACCGCAGGGCCCGTCTCGGTCAGAGTGAGCTTGCCCAGCTGCCACTCGTCGACCAAGGCGGCCATCTTGTCCCCGATTGCAGTGTAGTCGACGTACTGCCGCAAGAAAGGCCGGAATGGGGAGAATCGTAGTTGGTCGCTGCTGTCCGGTCTTGCATGGAGCAAACTAGCTTCACAGTCACGATTTGAATCAGGCTCTGTTTCCGGCCGTGTTCCTTGTTTGTTTGAAGAAGTGCGTTTCATCTATGAATCACCCTGCGCATGAAATGGCCCATTCAGTAACAAAGTCCTGCTTCAGAAACACAGTGTCATTGTTGCACTTTTGCGCAGTGGAGAATTGGTCCTCCAACTGTATGGCCACCTTGTGCATTTGCCGGAAGGGAGAGTGACGCCTGGGGCGGGTCCACGTCCCGAAACCCCATGGCAAATGGTCAACCTGCCGCTTATTAGCGGCGGCCAATACATGGGCGCCCGGGCGCCCAAATAAAATTGCGCGCCCGGGCGCGCCACTAAGAACCGCAGACTGTCATTGGCCCATGCAACAGCAGACGTACACGCACGTTCCTAAGTATGTAGTCCGCACACAGTAGAGGCTGTTAAGATAAACTGTCTACAATTTGACTACAATGCACCGCTCTACCGAGCCGGCGGTCGAATGCAAGGCTTGTTGCTCTTTGCTGTCCCTTGCAACGCTCTTCCAGATGTCTTTCACGCCTCTTCTCTTGTTTGCCAGTGGATTATCTCCCATCTCTTTGACCACTTGGGCTTCAATGCGTTCATCCTCCGCCCTGCTCCAATCCAAATACGCCATCATCTCTTCTTTCGTCCATTCTCTTGATCCTGTTGAGCCGATACAGCGCTTGGACATCTGTTTGTAGTCCAGACACCACTCATAATTCTGCTTGTCGTACCTGAGTGGGAGCCCCATTGCCCTGCGATACTGCTGATTGGTCTTGATATTGCCAGTGGGCTGCGCTGCGTACCACGCGCTCCTCGCGGCAACGTATCTCCCATATATGGCTTGTGGAGAGTCATACCTCGGCGGTAAATCGAGATCGGGCTCCCGAAAACGGCTTAGCTGTTGCGCCACTGGCTCTCCTTCAACAGAGCTTGGCACAGTTCCAACCGGACCATCTGGAACGACAGGCGAGTGGACAGTTCTAAGGGAATCCTGTATAGTAGGTAAGACTAAGGGCGGCACAAATGGGGTTGGTCCAGCAGCGGGAGAACGCCGAACAGCTTCCGCAGGAGAGTCTAGTGTAGCCCCGAGCAATGATGCCCCTCGGGTCGCCGGAACACTTGGGGGAGGATCAATAAAAGCCGGAACGGCAACTGATGCTGCGTCCGGCTGCGGCACGGGCTTTTCCGGTGCTGCCTTTGTAAGCAGCTCCTGGAACCTTAGAGGGCATGCTCTTGAGGACCGTATGTGACCAATTTCGTGACATCTGCTGCACGTACGGGGATCTTTCTTGCCAGACTGGACGGTTTCAAATCCACAGGGTTCTCGTCTGGTGCTCGTTCTAGGCTGGCTGATTGTCTGAGTACCTTGCTTTGGGACTCGACGTGGTTCAAGTATCGGCTGTGGCCGATCCACGCCCTGCCTTAGGTTCCAGTGAGGATGAAAATGCTCGAGCAGAAGGCACTGCCTTGCATCCTCAAGTTTCTTCAAGGTATGAGAGCATGGTAGTCCGTATGAGGAAGTGAAAGACTGACTACAAGGGGATTTCAGAGGCGCTGAAAGTAACTGCCGTTGCTCTTGCACTTTGCGCAGAGCCTGGTGTGACACCCAACCGTGCACGGCCTCGAACATTTCTCCGGAGACATCTAGAGGGGTCCGTAGCTGCTGAGACGCTCGTATATGATTCAGCTCCTTTAGTTGGTTCGTGATCGCATGCCGCATGGCCTGCCAAGAGTCAAAGAGGTCGAATGTGGATGTCTTGATGTATGATTTGATCAATGAGTGAATTCCTTCGGCCCTAGGAAGCAAACGTTAGCCTTGAATCACGATGCAAACCATGGCGAACTACCTCGAAGTGGCAACATTGCCAAAATGTAAGTGCAGGTCTGCCCATGCTTTAACGATTCTCTCTTTGTACGGCTCCAGCCAGTATAGTTTAATATACCCAACCGCCCGGGGGTAGCTTTTGGCGTACTTAAGCTCAAATTTGGCCAACCGCTCTTCATATAACGCTTCGGTTGGTGAATCCACAATCGAGTGCCAAAATCGGTAGAATTCGTCCCATGCATCTTCTGCTTCAGCGCTCGGTTCGCTACGCTTTTGTACGAAGTCAGGTTGACAGTACTGCAGAACTGCCTTGTTGACATGCCAGAGGCAAAGCAGTGCTTTGGAGGTAGGAAACGAGGTTGCAGCCGCATTTATCGCAGCGAGGCATCGGTCAGTCAAGACCACAGAAGGAAGCTCGTGCTGGTACAGAGATTTAAGGTGATGAAGTGTCCACGAATAGTCCTCTTCTGATTCACCCGAGAGAAATGCGAATGCAATGCAGAACGAACGCTGACAAGAATCAACTCCGACCATGTCGAGGAGCGGCATGGAGTGCTTATTCGTCTTGTAGGTGCAGTCTAACAACAGGACGTCTGGGTTGCATTGGAGGTAGGCAACAGAGTCTGGATGGGCGAAAAAGATGGCTGTAAGCCGACGGTCTGAATCCAGTCGAACTTGACACTGGAAACCCTCTTCATGTAATTGGTCAACGAGCGCTTGTATACTGCTTTGGCCTTCACGCAGATCTCTCCTGGTTGCCGCAATTCGGTTGTAGACGTCCTGCTGAGTCGCGAGGGTATCAGAATTATTATGGAGGTAAGTTCTGATATCTCGAGGAGCAGCACCAGCAGTCGTCATATTTGATATAATTGTAGCATCGCTCTCGTTGAGCTGGCGATGCGCTGGGTGGACAGATGCATTTGAACTCGGCGGATGATTGTGCTGGGCGCACTCCTTGTCTGGTCGATGGCTAAGGACCCAAGTGCTTCCATCCAATGACTGTTTGGCCAGTACTGAGAACTTGCATCCAGCTCTCCGGCTACAAGTGCGGCGTTTTCGATCGATAGATGTCCTCGGCGGCAGCTTATTTCGATCGCATGCAAACACGATTTTGACGCGACCGTTAGGGGTCTTCGTAGATTTTCCAGTCGTGAATGCATACCCTCGCGGTTTTGCCCAAGAATTGATGGCGCTGAGTAGAGTTTCGCGTGATTCGTACGTGCCCTCCGGAGGGAGGGCATCATCGCCAAATGTCGTCGGCCCCGTTGAATTCATTCTCTTGGACGCGACGTGTTTTGAACTTTTGTCGCGGTTTAGGGTACAGTGACAGAGCGCGTGAACAGAGGTCGATACGTGTGTGCATGGGCCAATGACGGTCTGCGGTTCTTAGTGGCGCGCCCGGGCGCGCAATTTTATTTGGGCGCCCGGGCGCCCATGTATTGGCCGCCGCTTATTAGCCCGGACCTGGTCCTCAACCGTCAGCTCATTCTCATTCTCTAGCAACACAAGCCTTTCTTGTTTGCACCACACCACGGCATCTTGTCCAACCACAACCAGTGTGGCTAACAGACAGACCGTCTGACAGACCGTCTGAAGGTGGTCTAGCAGACCGCAGACCGACCGACGGCCAATTGTCAACAGACCGACCGACCGGATCAGCCAGTCGGTCTGGGTGGTCTGGGTGGTCTGGGTGGTCTGAAGTGACGTAACAAAGCTGGTGTTCCTGTGATGCCATTGGCCCGTCGCCTTTTGTGCTGTAAACATAGTAAGCCGCGTTTGTGACTGCGACTTGCGTCTTACGCGTCTACCTATCCGTCTATCGTCAATGGCGAAATAAACATCATCACCCATCTATCTATGAGATAGTTTGCACTCCCATCACGTCGGAGATTATCATCATGTCTTCTATCAGAAATACGAGCCCCTTGTCGTCTGAACAGTCTTTCCCCTCGCACTCACGTGCCACTTTGACCAATGACAGTCCTGAAGCTACTCCTGCTGCGTCCGAGGCCACGTTAGACGATGCAGATGCATCGCGATGGGAATTCGTCATTGATTGGGAGAATATCTGACACTGCGGCAAACGGCTTATTGGCGCTAGAAGGAGACCTCGTCACAAAAGGGTCGTGGGCACGAGGATCAAAGAGTCATGGATCTACAGATATGGCGCCAACCTAGAACATAAGGGAGTACGCTACTGGCTCTGCAAGATCTGCCACATTAAGAAGAGCTATTCGACAGCTTTATACGCCTCATCAGGAACGTCTCACGCCGCGAGACACCTACTTCGTCAGCATCAAATAACTGAATCCCGTGAGCGCGTCTCTCAATTGAAGACTCCGTTTACCTTGGCGGCTGCGTCCACCTCTTCTTCGTTCAGTCCTCCATCGCAACAAGCCAGTCTAGGTTTCCAGATTGGCTCCCATTTTGACGAGGAGGCATGGAAATCTCGCTTTGTGGACTGGATCATAGTGGAAGATGTCACTTTCCGACAAGCATCCAGCGAGCGGCTTCGATGGCTTATAGCGAATGGGGGAGAGCTTGCAAGTCGGCTGCTTCCGGAGCATCACACCACGATCTGCTCATGGATTCGCCGAGCCTTCGAAGGCCGAAGGCAGATCATCGCTGGTCTCGTCAAGAAAGCGAAGAGCTCAGTTCACATCAGTTTTGATTTGTGGACTGCTTCAAATGCATTCAATTACGTTGGAACCGTTGGTCATTTTGTTGACCATGAAGGCAATAAACGCGACGTTCTCCTTGGGCTGCCCCGCGTGATCGGTCCCCATTCCGGCGAGAATATCGCCCTCCATGTCAAGGAGGTGATAGATCAGTACGAGCTAGGCTCCAAGCTTGGATATTTTATGCTTGATAACGCCAAGAGCAACGATACCTGCCTGGAGAAGCTCGCCAGGTGGTTTCCAATGGACGCCAGTCGGTGCCGCCTACGTTGTATAGGCCACATCATCAACCTTGTTGTTCGAGCCGTTGTATTCGGCTCGAACGTCAGCAAATTCGAGGCAGAGCTGCGTGGGGCTACTGATGAGTTCAAGTTTGACATTTGGGCGAAGAAGGGGGTTATCGGCAGACTTCACAACATTGCTACCTACATTCGCCGAACAGATCAACGACGACAGGTTCTCCGGCGTCTGCAGACTGAGCTCGCCGGTGACGATCCGATCTTTACCTTAGAGATTGTTGTCGACGGCAAGACACGCTGGAACTCAATATACATGATGATCAAACGCGGTGAGTTCTATCGTGTATGTATAGCTGTTTCCACTTGCTGACAACCTGGCGGCTTGCATCAGCACTCGAGCTGCGGTGCGCCATCGAACTCTTTCAATCTCGCTGGCAAAAACCCCCGAATGACCCGGATCACCGCGACCTGACGAGCGACTTTCTCAACGCTTCGGACTGGATTGAGCTAGAACGCTTCTACGAGTTCCTAAAGATATGTTATATATAGGTAGCTAGAGAGCACCCAGAATGGAAAAAAAGAGCTGGAGGACCCAGTCACTTGATCCTTCTTGCTACCCTAATAACTGCTTCCTTCTATAAGAAGTCTTCTTCCCGGAAATTGCTATCTTCTCTATGCTACGAATGGGCCGAATCATTCGATAAATACCGACGACAGGTTGAGGTTGAAGCCCAGGCTCAAGCTGGATTTCTGGATGATGACTCCGAGAAAGCTGATGCTGACAACGATTACAGCTCGTTTGGCAAAAGATCAATCAGCTCATTAAGTACGCAGCGGAAAAAGGTCAAGGCAGTAAGTGAACTTGATTTATTCCAGACCCGGCCAATTTACACCCAAGACATTGACGTTGCAAATCCTCTTGAATGGTGGAATCGACATCGACTGGAATATCCGGTCTTGTATCGAATGGCGCTAGATTTATTCTCTATTCCAGGCATGAGTGCTGAGTGTGAGAGAGTGTTTAGCCAGACAAAGAAGATGATAACAGACGAGCGCAATCGGCTATCGCCTGAAATAGTCGAGGCCGATCAGCTTCAGAAGCATTGGCTAATGCGAGGATTGGTAGCGTAGCAATATCTATAACCAGAGAAATGCATTTCTGTTCTGGTAATTTGATAACGCAACCCTTACTGTAGCATCTGGCGATCAGACCGTCAGACCATCAATCCGACTGGCCCTCGAACCCAGACAGACCTAGACCGACAGACGGATAGCCACGATAAACCCAGACCGACAGACCGAAGGGGCCGGTCTAGGTCTGTCGGTCTGTTAGCCACGCTGACCACAACGCCATATCAGTCCAACGGGCGAAAAGCACAGCTTCATCGCACTCTCCCTCTCATCGCCGCCCGCAATGCTCCGTACAACCTTGGCCAGGACGGCTGCCATGCGTCCCCTCGGAGCTGCCACTATCACCACAACTGCCCGAGCCATGGCCCAGGGGGACACAGGCGCCCCCCCAAAGACGGGTGGTCAAGGGTACGGGGCTTGCTTGCCAGTTTCCCCGTGCAGGACAGGAGTCGTCGTCATCGGCTGGGCAGTAAATGGAGACTAACCGCACGTGCGCAGCGATGCTTTTCAGCGCCGCGAAAGGGCTAGTGAGGACTACACCATTCGCCAGCGTGAGAAGCACAAGCTCCTGCAGCTCAAGAACAAGGCTGCCGAGCAGCAGCAGCATCTTGGCTGGCTTTCCAAGCACATGTTGGTCCAAAATCTCTACCCCTAACTCCCTTTTTGTCACATCATTCATTCATGAGGACCAAGAATTGAGGCCGTGGTGCTAACTCGGATGTCGCAGCGATGAGATAGCCAAAGAACCGGACGGGGAACGGAAGTGAAGCCTCTGGGAGGACAATGGCTTGCATGATGCCCCGTTTGAGTCACACCACCCATGCTGGATTGGGCATCCTTCACCGGACAGAGACTGTATAAATGATGACGAGAAACCCCCTGCGCACCGTGCTACGTTTACTCGAATCACATGTTCTAGAACTAGATAGTGTTGTTGCCTGGGATGATGGTAGGGGTCCGTTGACAATCTGTGCACTACTTTCGGCGAGCTAAACACGGCTCCTGAGCCACTAGAGCATGCATGTTCATGTATATTGAGGTTTCTCGTATATGTACTGAAAAGGGCGTTTGCCGACGACGCGTTTGAGCTGCACAGGGAGCTTGCCGGAGAGCAGAAAAGAACATTGTCATTGAGTTTTGCCAGCCCCAAACTCTGGCGGGTCGGGACGTTATTGGACAACGCTATGCCACGGCGCCTGCCCACGGCCCACCGAGCAGGACACCGAGCAGGGGAAGCAAGAGACCCCGACTACTGCTGGGACTGCCACAGGTGCGGCTGAGCGTGATGAAGTCAGGTACTGGGCATCGGAGCTCAGCATTGGCTAGTTTTACCGCACCTTGACGTTTCCGGCGCGTGTTTAGCAAGATGGTGTTGCGGCCGGGATCGACGGCGGCATCCTCAGTATCCATGTACCCAAGGCAGCCAAGCATGAGACGCATGGGCACCGAGTTGAACTGTGCAAACGCCTCACCTGCCTCGACAGGATGCAAGTGCCGCTTAGGCGTCAGCTGAGAATGCTACTTGTCTTAAAGGAGAATTAACAGACCGCCCAAATATCTCACTCTACATCGTTTCGCATGCAGGTAGTGCGAGTGAGCGCATCGTTATTGCAACCTCTATGGCATAATACCTTGTGCTATTGTGCTTATTCTAGGCCCCACTGGAATTACAGCCACCAGCATGGAGCAAAGCCCAGCCATCTCTCTGCCGCCCGGGTCGGGAACAGCAGCCCGTATCCAGGCCCGCCGGCGGACCTAACTAGCCCGCTCCTAAGTCTCGATATTCCCGCATCACCTCCCGGACCTTATGAAGGTACCAGAGCTAGCTAGAGGAACGCTTCTGCATACAAAATATGACTAGAAGTAGTAGTAGTAGTAGTAGTTTATTACACTAGCCGGCCGTAGCCCTAGAGCCTCTATTCGTTACCAATACAGGAAAAACCCTATAGCCGAAGCCCGGGATGAAAACCCGAATTCTTCCATCCTGTCTGCGCATATGTCTTTCAACGTTGAGCATCTTGTCGCCTATCGTGGTTGGTGGATATCGTAGGGGTCAGACTTGCAAACAAATAAATCAAATTCAAATTTATTCAAATCAAATCAAATATATCCAAATCAAATCAAATCAAATCACCTCTGGACTAATTCAAATCAAATCAAATAGGCCTGCAGCGTATTCAAATCAAATCAAATCATGGCGGGCGAATTTATTTGGATATTTGACTACCCGTTGGCGGGGCCCTTCGGGAGCCACTAAGGGGACAAGCCCCTTAGTTGGGGAGCTAATGTGTGGACGCGCCCCAAACCCGTGGACGCAGCTTATGCGGGCAATTGCCTGCAAAAGTCAGCCCGCACATTCCACGCCTGTCTAAGCCCAATAAAAATTAGTGCAGCGTGTAGAGCGATTGAATTATAATATATGAAGCATTTGATGATATGAATTCTAAGCGTTGTGCGCAATTGCATAGCGTTGAGGCATGCATGTGTTGCTGTTGAAGTGGGTGGCTGCCCTCCTTTTGCCCTATATAACCCCCTTGCCTAATTCTTCTCCCCTTATCCCTACTAGATTAGCTACATAGCTAATTTATATATTAATTGGATCCTTAGTTGATGCTTGTTTAGTGTAGCTATCTCGAATAATAGCCTCAAGCCTCTTCCAGCCTGGCTCATGGGGCGTAGGCGTGCCCGGCGGCGACGATGACGGCGAGGGCTCCGTAAGAGGCGGCGATGACGACAACGCTTGCAGCGGCAGCGGGGGCTGTTGTGACGATGTGATGATCTTCCCGGTTACCCACGAGCCTGCCGTTAAGAAGATGCTAGCAGAACAGCTCAAGCTTCGTGAGGCAGTCAACCCAGCGTTTGTTAGTCTGCTTCCACCAGAAACACGGTTCGAACAAGCAGCCGATACAATGCAGCAGCTACGACATCGGTATCATAATATGTTAAGCTCGCCAACCCGGAAGGGACTAGAAATAGCCTCTCGAGCTGTCACGGAAGCTGCTCTTGTGAGGACGAATCTCAACCAACACTATAAAGACCGCCTTCAGAGGATCGAGAAGATGAGTGCCCGTACACGGAAAGGCAAGGCTGTCAAGGCCAGCGAGGGCACTTTCTATACAAGCGTCAGCCTTGCGCGAGAGGGAACAGCTACTCGAGCAATATCGTAACGAGAAGTTCCAAGTGATCAATGGCAAGGCAAGAAGACTCACGATCAAACAGTGGCTCGCTTGGAAGGGGAAAAGCGATGACTATCTTGCCCTCGAGACAAGCGAAGAGATGTATGCACGCCTCCTCAAGCCGGCAGACAAGTTCACGATAGACACAACCCGCACGCCGCTTTGTGCGCCCTGGCGTGAAGGCCGACGGTACGCCAGCAGAGCAAGCGGCTGTGGCCGCAGCTTGCGCATCAGAAAGACCGTTGCAGTCAATTCAATGGACTCATATTGAGAGAGAGGGGTCTATTGAGATTACCACATCGTCACAACAGCCGCCGCTGCCACAACGAGCACCATCGTCATCGCCGCCACTTACGGAGCCCTCGCTGTCATCGTCGCCGCCGGGCACGCCTACGCCACGCGAGCCAGGTTGGAAGAGACTTGAGGCTATTATTCGAGACAGCTATATTGAAAGGGCATCGATTTAAGATCTAATTGATATATAAATTGGCTAAATAGCTAATCTAGTGAGGATAAAGGGAGAGTGTAGGTATAGGGGTCAAACGGGGCAAAAGAGGGCGGCCACACGTTTCAACAGCAACACATGCATGCCTCAACGCCATGCAACTGCGCACAACGCTTGGAATCCAGATAATCAATTGCTTCATATACCATGATTTAATCGCTGTACACGATGGACCAATTTTTATTAGGCCTAGACAGGTGTGGAATGCGTGGGCTGACTTTTGCACGCAATTGCCTGCATAAACCGCGTGCACGGGTTCGGGGCGCGTCCACACATTAGCTCCCCAACTAAGGGGCTTGTCCCCTTAGTGGCTCCCGAAGGGCCCCGCTTATTATTATTGTATTTTCCGTCCAGCGACCTTTAGGTCGCTCAGGTCCCCGAGACGGGGCACAGGACGTGCTGAGCTGCTGGAAGTCTACTATCGCGGAGTAGGCCCACAATACGCGAAACGAAACGAGTACCAATCCGCGTCTTCTGCCCCTTCCACAGAACGTAAACAATCCACCATTCAGCATTTCATCGGCTCAAAGGCGCTTCTTTGCTCAGCCTGCTGCCCGTCAGCGGGACGTTCAGGCGCGACAGCCATGTCTTTCGTTTTGGCCTCACAGGGCCGGTTCCGAGAGCACCCTCCGCCCGGCCGAGTCGGGTAAGAGAGAATGGGTGTGTGTGCAAAGGGGGGAAGGAGGAAAGCGGTTGCTGCCGCCTAGTGGCGAGGGCAGATCGTTCCAAAGAACGAGCTTGCCTTCGCCACCTTGACGAACTGGTCGAAGTCTCTGCCTATTGCTCGGTTGACCGCCGCGCTCGGTGAGGGTGCCAACCTCATCCGATGTCGCGGCGCGATCTTCCGGCAATAGAAGAGATGCTGGTTCTTTTCGTCGACCACATGAGCACGTCAGTCGCGCATCGTCGTGGTTCAACCTTTCGTGGTAATCAGCGAAGTCCCCGTGGTGGCTTCTTGCTGCGAGCAGATGGTGGAGCAGAGGTCGTGGAATGGTAAGTTCTGGCGGGCAGCCAGTCGTGGCATCGAGGTCGAGGACCCTGTACTGTTGGGGTGCAGAAACTTCCCACCAGGCTTTGAATGCGTCTTTTGGTCGCTGCCTAGCGACCTTGCGCAGATATGCCAGCGTCGGGAGAGCGTCTGCAGGCTCGGGTTGAGAGGTTCCTGCCTTTGCTAAGGCGTCTGCCTGCTCGTTACCTGGGATGTTGGTGTGGCCGGGGATCCAGCGGATCTCAGTGGCACCATGTTCTGCGGCCAAGGCCTGGAATTCCAGGAACTCCTTCTGGGAGGAATCTGATGGCATGCCTTGAAGACACGTCGCGACCGCGAGGTTATCGAGGCATACGACAATCTGGTCTGCAGCCGGGAGGCTCAACGCAGCACGCAGACCCTCTAGGAGCCTCTCGCCTCGGCATCAAAGACCTCAGCAAGCCCAAGACGGCCGTTACCGCTGAGGACGGTGAGTCCATCCTGATGTACCGCATAGCCGTACCCGCGGCTCCCTCCGGGAGAGGGATCCGTCCGAGTAGACGATTGCTGTCCGTGGAGCAACTGATTGGAGCCACTCGCCGAAGTTTGCCGCCGATTCTTCTTTCGGCGCAGTTTGCAGGGTCCACGCTGGTCGCTGGCGAACCTACGTGCGAGAAGGTCTGGCCTGGCGCACCTTGGGAGCAGCTCGTCAGTGCGACGCAGTCTGGTCCGGAAAGGTTGTCGTGGACGCTGGTATTTTAACTTAATGGCCCTGTTGATGACAGGGGCCCGGATCGGCTTCGTTCGCACCGCAAGCGGGTGCGCTTCGTCGAGGACTTGAGACGGGCTGCGAAGCGCGTTCGACACGCCTGGAGCAGGTGCGAAACTGGCGGTATGCCCGCCTCCCGGTGCCTGGCGCTGAGCGGCGTCGTCTTCCAGACCGGGAGGATGGCTCGCATGGCCGTGTTGAGCGACTTGTCCATCCGCCGGATGAGGTGCCGTATTCTTGATGGCCCTTCCTTTGCCGGCTTATTCCATCGCGGGCAGGTCATGCCCGGGTACCACGCCTCTGCCCCAAAGAACAATTGCGGCTCGATGCAGGCGCGGACGGCTCTCGGACCGCACCTGGTAGGGGCCGCGGTTGGTATTTGTCAAACCCTTGAGATGGTAGGCCACTGCTTGCGCTTTGGCAGTCCACTTCTCGACGTGCGTCTTGAACGTCAGGGTGCTGTCAAGCCAGATGCCGAGCCACCGCATGGCTGAGCCTGGCCGCTTTTCTACCTCGCCATGGAAGACTGGAGGTGCATTCCTCGGTGTAGTTCGGGAGAAGTGCATGACTTCAGTCTTCTTGGGGTCGAAGGTTATCGCGTTCGCGGTGCCCCATGTCATGAGTTCGTGAACATGTTTCGACGCTCTGTGGGCAGTCTCCTCCAGGGAGTCTCCGACGCAAAGGACGGCAGTGTCGTCTGCATAGCCGAAGCGCCCCTTGGGGTTGCTCAGGCGGTAGATTGGCTCTGTGTATAGTAGGAAAAGTATGGGAGAAGCTGGCGATCCTTGCGGCAGTCCGCACTGCAAGGGTGACGAGGGTGTCATGACATCCTGGTAGCGGACACGTGCTGCTCGGTCATGCATAAAGGAGCCAGCCCAACGAGCGACATTCCGAGGCCATCCTTGCTGCCGAAGGCGAAGAATGAGCCTGCTACGAAGGACAGTGTCGAAGGCGCCTTCGACGTCCATTGTCACGAGTGTGGCGACCTGCTTGCGCGAGAAAGCCTCCTCGATGTCGTGTACCAATGCGGCGACAAGGTCAACAGCGGACCTTTTCGGCAATGCGCCAGCTTGTTGTGGGTGCAAGACACCATAGTGGACGGATGCCCACGCCAAACGGCGCGCAATAAGCCGTTCGAGGCCTTTGCCCAGACAGGAGAGGAGAGATTGGACGCCAGGCGCGGGCCTCTGACAGGTTCCGACGCCCCGGCTTCGTGATCATAACCACTTCCGCTTCCTGAAAGGCTTAGGATGGTGACCGATGTCGAGACAGCCCTGATACAGCTTGTGGACGAGGCTTCCAATGGTATGCCAGACGGCACGGAGCATCTTGACCGTAATGTTATCGGAGCCGGGAGAGGTGTTACCCGTGCGAAGGGTCGCGTCACGGACCTCCTCCAGGGAAACGTTCTGAGCGAAAGGAATCGTCCTCGCTGTGTCCACTGGGACCCACGGATCCGTGATGTCATCCTGCGAAGTGCGACGTTCGAGCGTTGCTCGTCGCAGGGCGTTGGCTTTGTCTAGTTGGGTCTCATAGACGGTATCATCCACTTGCAGAGGCGGTGGTTGGAAAGCACCGGGCGATCTCAGCCAACGGACCGCCTTGAAGACGGACGCACTGTCCGTGAAGCTGTCAATCAGATCGCGCCAGTAACGGCGCTTGACTCGCCGCACGACTCTCTGGAAATTCCTTTTCGCGAGCTGAACCTCTCGGCCGAAACCGAGAGCGTAGACTCTCCTCACTGCGCGATACTCCACCGCGGCCAAGGAGCATTCCTCCGTCCACCAGGGCGCGCTGCGTGCGCCCTTGCGGACCGACCGGCCTGCAGCTTTGGCGGCAAACTGAAGTAGGTTAGTCACTGCTAAGGCAAGTGAATCCAAGTCTTGAGGGGAAGCGGTTGACGGCTCGATAGCCGCCACGCCGTTTTCAACCATCTCTACGAAGCGTCTTATTTCCTCGTCAGAGGTAAGGCGAACCTTCCCAGTGGGTGGGGGCGCTACAGCGAGCTCAGGCAGGGTAGTGCTGAGCGTGAAGTGGTCGGAGCTGGTGGCAAGATGGTCTTCCACCACGGCATTGGCCAAGGCGATATTAGAGAAGGCAAGGTCGATCGTATTGCCATGAGGATTTGTCGGGACGTCAGCCGGGTTGAGCAGGTTCAGACCGTTGGCTGTCGCCCATGCAGCTACAGCCTCGCCGCGGCCCTCGATGCGGCCGGCTTGCCAGCTGTGGTGTTTGGCGTTGAAATCGCCTGCTACCAGACATCTGTCTGGCGCGGGCCATTGGAGTAGTATGTCGAGGGCCTCGTCGTATGACGGTTGGCGGTAAACGTTGACCAAAGTGATGTCGTTGACCGTGAGCCAAAGAATGTCACGAGTTGCCGCGGGCCTCCTCTGATCTACCATCAGTCCAGGCCTGCGGCGGACATAGGTCATGACTCTGGGTCGGGTGCTATTGTCTTCCCAGCTGTCAACCGGGGAGAAGGTGTCGTAGGCGGGATGTGTTTTGGTAAGGCATCGGCCGCCCTTTGTTTCTGTCCATGGCTCCTGGAGGAGCACCACATCGTAATGTTCGGAATCGGCGAGGGCAAGGGCGCAGTCGTGCGCCGGCGAGATCTTGCCCACGTTCGCTTGGAAGACTCGCAGAGTCTTATTGCCACATTGATTTGTGCGTGGGTATCTCGTCATGGAGAGACAGAGTCCTCAATGATGCGTCGCTTCTTCGTAGGAGAAGCAGATCTGTGTCGTTGGCCTCCACCCGGAGGTTCGGGTGCCGAGGCCATCATGACGGAAGGCGGGGTTACGGTCCTGGTCGAGCTTAGGGTCGATTCGCTACCGCGCCGTGGGGCTTCGTCATGAGGTTGGGCTTGCTGTCCGTCGTCCCGGGCAGCACTTGAGGTCGGGGGGTGAGGTGCGTCGATTCCGAGGCGGTCTTCCTGTCAGGCCCAGGCGTTACTGTCTTTCGGTGACACCACCCGGCGAGCAGGTGGCATCCCGTTCGGGCTGCTCGGATCGTTCTACTCTTTCGTATTGTTCCTTTCGCCGGGCGGACAGTTGAGCGCCCAGCTCTCGGGCGCGAGATTTCTCTTCTCTCGTCAGACGGCGAATGACGCCGTGTGATCGCTTCGGGCGCGCAGGGCACTTCGCAAAGTCTGCGGCGTGGGGCCCAAGGCAGTTCGCGCACCGCTCGAGGGCCACGCAAGCTTCCGCGTCGTGGCCGCGCCGTCCGCACCGCTTGCAGGATGCTTGTCGGTCGCAGGTGTGTCGGGCGTGAAAGTCCCAGCACTTGTCGCACTGGCTGGGCAGGCTAGATCTCTCAATGTATTGGGCGAGCCGACTGGATCCAAACAGCCTCCAGGGCTTATCAGTCGGTTCGAGGAATGACACAATCAAGGTACAGGTCAGGGGTCGTTCGGCTTGCGCCTGGCGGGCGCACCCTGATGGGTTTGAGGCCGGTCTGGCAGGCGATTTCATCTTTGGCGGCTGGCTCGTAGTCCAATTCTTTCCCTGTAGGTCGGTAAGAATATAGGGGCAGTTTGCCACGGCGTAGGTGTACCATCTCTGGCTGATTTCTACATCTGTCGCGCCCATGTCTTGGGACCACTCCGACTGTCGTTGGACGATAAGATCCCGAATGGTCGCATCTGTTGTTCTGATGGCCCATCCGGAGTTCACCTTGAAAGCGGCTGGGACTTGGTGAAGGTCGATGCCGACTTTGGCGGCAATGTGGGTCCGGATTGCGTAGCTATTGTGGTCCCTCGCCGGTGCTTCGGCCGGGAGTCGCACGAAAACCCGGAGGTCTTCTTTCGGCGGGGCGGGGATTGGTCGTCCCTGGAGACGGGAAATTGGCTGTTGTGGCTCTTGTTGCGGGGCTGCAGCGGCCGTGGGAGAGTGGCCACATGGCCGCTGGCTTGCGGTGCGACCGGCGGCCACGCTGCTGTACGTCGGCGCAGATGCGAGTCGGAGATCGGAGGGCGTCTGCCTCCAGAGGTCGAGAAAACGGTTGGAGAAGTGCTCTGCGAAGCTGTGTTCGAGACCAGATGTGAATTGCTTCGCAGTCTGCTCGAATGATTCGCAGAAGGCCCGAAAACCGTCATTTTGGCGTTGTGGGCATCGGTTTCGTCGCCGGCGAGTTTGTTAGCTGCATCAATGATAGACACCGGTTGGAGCACGTCGGTCTCGGTGGTGCCGGGCAGGCTCGGACGGTTCACGCCGCGCTCCTTCCGTAGCGGCGGCATTGGACAGGCGGATGAGGGGCGACGACGGCGTTGCTGCCGGCCGCCGGAATGCTGAAGAGAGACCAATGGGACGGGTCACAATGGGAGAACTATTTCGCAGCTGAGATGCACGGGCTAAGCGAGAAAGGTTAGGCGGGGTATGAGCACCCAGATCAAAGGGATCCGAGCTGGCATGCGAGCTCGTGGCAGATGCCATGGCCGCAGCCGAAGCCAGCGCAGAGCGCGGCTACAGAGGTTGTCGTGCACGTGTTAAGCAAATTGGTAGAAATTGCGCCACTTTCTTAACAATTGCATGCCAAGAAAGTGTGATGACAAAGGAAGGTGCGAAGGGCCCCGCCAACGGGTATTTGGATAAGTTCAGGGTAGGCTTCCGGGGATCGAAGCCGCTCGATGCGACGTCGCCAATCTTCACTTCAAGTTTCCACATTTGATAGCTTATCGTTTGACCCTTATCTCTGCCGAGACGCGTTACGCGCAATTTTTTTTCTTGGCGCGCATCCCTACGCACACCAGTTGCTCTATGAATCGCTCATCGTGATTTCACGTCTTTGCGCGTCTGGTTTCGGGCGCTATGAATAGTAGACCTCCGGCCTTTGTATGCATGCGCATCACTCATCGATATGACTTCATCTCTGAATGCCGGGCACAACTTGGCACCGGTGGATGAGATGTGTGATTTTCCGTCAAGCGTTGCAAACACTTCCCAGGGCTCCAGTGCAGTCGATCCATCGGGAGAGACCGCCGACGACGCATCGTTTGCGGTCGACCACATTGGCTATGAAGGTATCGATTGGAATCGTGTGTCGGGCTACTCCATCAGCGAGCGTCGTAAAAGGCCGCGAACGAGCTGGGTATGGGAGCACGGGTACGATATAGAGAAAGACAGCTCTGGTCATCGATTTTGGCTGTGCAAGACGTGCCATCGAGAAAAGGCGACCATCCGGCACATGTATGACGCCGCAGCCACGAGCCAAGCAAACGCCCATATGGCAGAAATTCACCGCATCAACAAGGACGGACCGATGCCACCTCAGATGAAGAAGCAGCGTACTTTGCTCGACATGATTGACTTGGACCCCCGGCAGCCAAAGGAACAAGCTCTGATGAATGCCTTTGCGGCGTCGTTCGATCCCATTCGATTTCAGCAATTGCTCATTCGCTGGGTGACTTGTGACAACATTCCTTTTCACAAGCTCGAGAGCCCGTATTTTCGCGACTTGATGGCATATACGAACAGGGCTGTCGTCGACTCGGGAAGTCTTCCAACACATAGCACAATCCGCGAATGGATTATACGGCCTTTCAATCGTCATAAAGGCGTCGTGACAGAATTGCTGAGTCGCTCGCTGAGCCGCATTAACGTCTCTTTCGACGCTTGGTCCTCTCGCAGATTCACGTCCCTACTCGGCCTGACGGTCCACTTCCTTGACGACGAAGGCAAGTTTCGAACATTTCTTCTCGGCCTACCGCGGATCGAAGGTCGTCACAGCGGCGAAAATCTTTCCGACCGTGTAAGCGAGATAATACACGAATACGGGTTTGAGGACCGCGTTGGGTATTTTGTGACAGACAATGCGGAGAGCAACGACACCTGCCTTGACCGTCTGAGCACTGAGTTGGAGTTCAGGAAGCAGCATCGGCGACTTCGTTGCTTTGGTCATATCATCAATCTCGTCGCTCGATCCATCCTTTTCGGGGCAAACGTCGATGCGTTTGAGGAGGACTGTCAAGCCGAAAAAGAGATCCAGGATGACATGAATCTCTGGAGACGCAAAGGCCCCATAGGCAAATTACATAACATCGTCCACTGGGTGCAAAGGTCTGGGCAGCGAATCGAGAAGCTCCACAAGCTGCAGTCAATCGAGAACATTGCCTTGAGTCTTGAGGATCAAACAACTTACGATGTAATCCTGGATAACGCTACTCGCTGGAACTCCTCCGAGGCCATGATGGAGCGAGGCTACAAGCTCCGCAATGCACTTGACTCACTTGTCCAGGCGGAAGTGACGGAGTGGAAGGAATATGTGTCACGGAGAACTCAGAATGGGATGAGGCCGATGCCGAAGAGGAGTCGAAAGAAGCCCGCGATAGTCGATGACAAGATGTCTGCGGAGGACTGGTCGGTGATTGCAGAGTACTTGGCCATTTTGGGTCCACTCAAAATAGCCACGAAGCGCCTGGAAGGTCGCCCTAGCGAGGGGAAAGTTGGAGCGACTTGGGAGGTCCTTTTGACGATGGAGTGGCTTTTGAAACATCTAGAGGACTCGAAACTCCGACACGAGCGGGACGAGGAACCGTATCTGCGCATCGGCTGTAATCTTGGGTGGATGAAGCTGGACGAATACTATACCCTCACCGAGAATAGTCCAGCGTACCTCGCAGCCCTTGTTCTTCACCCTGCATTCCGTTGGTCTACTATAGAATCGCAGTGGGCCGAGCATCCAGATTGGCTGGTCAAAGGCAAGGCTGCTGTTCGGGAACTGTGGGAGGAGTATCGTGTACTCACCGTGGAGCAGGATGCGATACCCGAACAGCCCACAGTTTCTCGCAAGACCACGGATCTAGATGACTTCATGGCCTCGATCAGGAAGCTCAGTACTCGGCCTGCCCCGTCAGCGTCTGCCATGCGAGATGAGTACGCGGAGTGGGTTGTAGCAACCGACCCTGGCGATTGCTTGGTAGATGATCCTATCCAATATTGGCTTCTTCGCAGACGTCAATATCCGCGCCTGTCGCGGATGGCAATTGACCTCTTTTCCGTTCCGGCAATGTCTTCCGAACCAGAACGTATATTCAGTCTTGCCGGGCAGAATGGTCACGGCGCAGAGAGGACGGCTGAAAGCCGATCTGATCGGAGCTGCGCAGTGTATATCATCTTGGGAAAAGAATGGAGTTATTCAAATTGCCAAATAAATCCAAATCGGACGACTTCTAGTCAAATCAAATCAAATTCACTGGAGATTTCTGTGACTCAAATCAAATCAAATTGGCCCTCATGATATCCAAATCAAATTCAAATTGGATGCTCCAGTAATTCGATTTATTTGTTTGCAAGTCTGGTAGGGGTTGGACTCGGTGACGTTGAGAGTTTGCGGCTGTCACACAGAGTATATCAGCCTCCAACAGTCTGATTCCCCTATTCGCACAGTTAGCCTATATTTTAGGTCGTGGCAGTTTGTAATGCCATATTAGTGATGGATTCGAACCTTCTAGATGACGTCGTCATCTAGGCTGCCTGGGTGGCGACATCGCCACTCAACCCAACGTCACAAGTATAAGAAGCCAACTTCTCACCATCACTTAGATAGAGAATCAAGAGTTGTTCAGTCCCCGATCTTCATGCTTCCTCAGCTCATCCTCCGTGCGATAGTGCCAAAAGTCTTAGGCGGGGTACATCGTGCAGCCAAATTAGGAAATACAGTCAAGCAACATCAACCAACCAAGCAAAGTAAGCCCCTCTCGTCAAGCAAACCAAGTAAAGCAAGGGGTCCGATCAACCAAGTCAAGCAAAGGGGTCAAATTTTGCTTTACTTGGTTGATGGACACACTGCCCATTTCTCAGCTGCCTGATGCTGCGACAGACCGTTGTCCGTAATATCGAGAATTGCCTCAGCCATCAGATCCTCTGTATACACCGAACGACGCCGTTTTGAAGCCATAAGGGGTAGGTGGCGGAGGGCGAACAAGTGAGGAGAAGAAGGGATGCGGCAGAAGATTGGGGGTTGAAATTGCCATTTTGCGATGCTAGGGTGTCACGGACCATGAGGGCTGGGGTACCCGTCTGACCATCTAAAATGAATCTCTAGCTATTCTCATTTACTCTGAAGACAACCTCTTGTGAATTGCTTCTCAATTGAGCGAATGCTGTGTAAGTAAAGTTGGTCGATTTTGTATGGGGAGGTGGCTTTTTTGCTGAGCATAACGGGGGTGCGAGCAAAAGGGGGGTGTCAGATGGTATGGAAAACCAATGTTCCATACTCGAATGCCGGGGCGATAGACAGTCTATTGCAAGGCATTTGGCCTCGCCGGCCGGAACGATACAAGTCGTGAAGCTGACGAACGGGAGACAAACTGTGACCACTGTAAATTGTACCGCAGCATATCCAGTCTCAGCTATAACCACGATATACTGCCGCAGCAGCAGCGACTGCACATACAAGCATTTAAATAGCTCCGATATTACGAATTTAGTCTTCAGCCGACAAGAGTAGGTACAGTATGAATCAACTGACGATGGAACGCACCGCAAATACGCGAGGATCTGAGCGACGGAGACCACAACTGATCTCAAATAGCCACCAACGTTTGAAACGGTGCATCCCGAATTTGCTGCCTTTGATTCAGGAATCAGCAGCACCTAAGAAAGATGTTGAAAGGGACGTAGCGGAGGAATGGGTGGCAGGGATGTCTCCTACGCATGGTTCGCAAGAGGTAAAAAAGGCGACGGTCGATACAGCAGCTCCCGACCGGCAAGAGAATCGGGGCTCCTAGGAGACCAAGTCGCGTAAAGACCACATACTTGCCCACCTGCGTGATCCGAACACAAACGGTGCAACGCGTTTCAGCCCGGCCAAGCAGCCTCCGGCGGTGACAACACGGTCGGCTTTAACGTTGAGATAAGCTGTCAGAAACATTACTACAAGGCAATCGCATTCAGTCAAATCTATCAATGTCACCATGAAGTACAATCCGTTTCGACCGTACTCTAATGCGAGGTCTAAGTGATTGCGGCTCTAGCCGAGAATGTCTCCACTGCTTGCAATAATAGCCTCCAACAATGCAAGTCCTTGCTGCGGAAAACAAGCGTCGGGGCAAGTGGCGGCGAAGGGACTGGTAGTGAACACCTATCTCCTTGCGTGACCTGTCCTTACCGATATGCCTTCTTATTTTATTTCCACATTTTGATGCAGTTGCATGACTATTTGTCAGCGACTCGGCTGACAGCACAGAAGAAGCATAAGGGATCAAATATGTGTATTTAGTGATGCATGTCACGGCCTAGCTACTGGGACAGAAGGTTCCCTTTATACTTGTACAGATACCCGGTCCGACCCTCTATTCGGGTGAATTGACAAGTTTCTGTACTTGACTCAAGTCCTTCAGGTGTCCCATAGCTAAGGAGGCGATGCCTTGGTCAGGGGGTAATTGCAGTCATGCCCTGACTCGGCTGACCCCTTATTTCGAGGTTGCATTACTCCCCTCAACACCTTGGGTTCACGAGTGGGTCAGACGTAGCGAGCAAGTACAGATGTACCTTACTCGGAAAAGCTTTTATCCGTCACGCCCTTTGAGTGTGGAGAAGCCACGACTAGGTCACTTGTCCAATGAAATGCCGCGCGTAAAGAGCGTTACCTCAGTTTACTAACAAATTGGGCTACCATAGAAGTTGTGAAATGTTAAGATAGTACAGATGTAGCTCCGTAGCTTTGGATCTCGTGACCGGGGGTAGCTCCTGCCTAAGCAAAGGACACTTCGACTCCCTCCATTCAGTTTACCAGAGGCAGCCGAGCAAGACAATGGCATCCATGCCACTACGCTTTTTCCAGGCGCAATGGACGTCATTGTCCGCACAGTTCATACGACTGTGCCGTGCGCCACTTTTCTTTCGTCAAGTCACTGTCCGCACGTTTGGCAAGGCTGTTCCTTGGCCTTCGAGCTCGCGAGTCAGCTGGACTTGACTCCCCGGACAGCCTGCCATCGACTCTGCCATCGACACCACCAAGCCAGGACAAGGAAAACGACCCCGCTGCCACAGACAGTCAGGTATCCAGCGCTCAGATCGAACAAGAAGCTTCAATCTTCTTCCCCCTCACAGAGGAGCAAGTTGAAGCCAAGAACGGTGCATTCATCCAACTAATCGACAAGGATGCCGTCTGCCATGTGGCCTCTAAGTACTGTGGAGGAGGAGCTTGCAGCATCATTGATGAGAATCAAGGCAGCTTTAACATCTGCTTCTTTGTTCGCTTCGAGCCCAACGAAAGACGTGGGTTTTGAGGATTCCAATCGTGCCTATGGTTCGTGATGCATGGGGCAAGCTCTTGAGTAAGGTGGCTACGATGCGGTGAGCTATCTCATCACCTGTTCGATGGAATTCTGGTGACGAAATCACCCACGCAGATATATCGAAAGTAACACTTCGATTCGCATCCCTTGCGTCCACGCATACGGAGAAGACGACACGTTGGTGCAAGGTGCTTCAACACCATTTATGATTATGGAATTCATATCCGGGCGGCAACTTGATATTAATACTTGGATGCATACTACAAAACCATAAAAGAGGAATCTATATATTGATCTTATTAATGCTCTTAGGCAGCTACGCAATCTTGAGTTTTCTGCGGCAGGCTCGCTGATGCCGAATCCAATCGATGAAGCAAATCCCATAATTAGCCCCTTCCTTTTAATAGCTAATAACGGAGTCACAGGAAGCTTCGCAACGCTGGCCATCCCAGGGATTTTCACATCCACGGCGCAATTTACAGATTATCATTAAAACTTTCTATCAGAGACGATTCAGCAACCCATCCAGGAGCCCAGCCTCAACCAAGCAAAGATAGAACTATTCACATTAGACTATCAAAGGAGATACCCAAGTGCATCGACTTCAAAGAGCCCAGCCCTTCATTCATACTCGCCTACCCGGATCTCAGACATGGTAACATCCTCGTCGACGATGACTTTCACAGTCTCGCAGTCATTAACTAGGAGTTTTCCGGTACGATTCCGCTGCAATTATTCACGCCGCCACCTTAGATTATAGGACACGATCCCGATACCCTCCTTTCCTACACCGGTGTTCCCCGACGCGATATTTTTCCAGAATTCCGCACACTTCTTATGGAAATGAGGAACTCATCGGGCACTTGCACCCAGCTTTGTTAAGACTAGGGATTGGAAGATGAAGCCATGCAGCATCAATTCGTGCAAAAAGTGTCGCCCATTATGGAAATCTTTCGGCACCCCTCTAAACTCCTGAATATATACCAGATGTCCATCTTTGAACACGTATACGGATCTAACACATACAGAGAGACGGTGGTTAACGACTTTCTCAAGAAAGATGAGAACCGGGTGCTTGCACAACGAGCTAAGCTTCAAATACGAAACTCTCAACGCTACACCAAGTATCTTGTTAAACATGGACTGTTCGTCGAGGATCATCGGGCTCAGAAAATTCGTCAACTTAATGAAATGACGACAAAAACATTGGAGCAAGTCCGCCTAACGAGTCAAGCCCGCCGCACACAAGACCCCGACCTCTATTCCTAGTCGCCCGCTCTTCAAGATAGCACCGTCAACTCCCTCTCACGCTCCTGTAACTCGGCCAATTTCATCCACAGCCTTCCAATCTCCGCCTCCTTTTCGGCGAGATCCTGCTTCATATGCGCAATGTTTTTTCCATGGTGGCACTTTCTTCCTGTCGTCTGCGCTCCTTCGATTTCGAGACCTTTTGAGACATTAGTTGTATGTTGGCGCTTGACACATTCTGGATAAGATTGAGCAAGATTTGGCGTTCTTCCTGCTCCATCGTGTATTTGCGCATTATGTCGCTTATCCGCCTCTGGATTTGCCTGAGCTCCTCAGTGGTGGGTCCCTGGCTAGCCATGATGGACCTGTTCAAATGCTTCAATGTAAGGGATAATCGCGGACGACGATGAGAAATGCTTGGGGCCGTTCGCTCTTTATTACTCCCTGCTGTGCGATCAAGGATACAAGGACATTACGTAAAGGGCGACCTTCCCCGCTGACAAGCTCGTAGCCGAGCTGTCAGATTGTCGGTCTCCGTCTCGTTCACGTCTCGTCTGAATGAGAAAGGTGGGATTAGTAGTCGGTGAA